TGGGGGCACAGACATTCACCTCAGCTGTTCATGGTCTCAGGGTTTACTTTCTAAGGCCCTCCTCTAGTGGGCAAAGGGGAAACAAAGACGATGGACACAGAGAACAGGACACAGGAAAATCAACCGCAGGGGAGCAGGACAGGAGAGAGTCCAAGGGTGAGGTGAAGGATCTGGGCCTTCAGCCCTGCCCAGGTGAGCATGACCCATGCCCCAGGAGGCAGGACTGAGGCTGTGGGACAGGGGTCTGCCCAGGATGAAGCGGGTAGTATAGCTGGTATGTGTAATATGTTCCTGGAGATTCTGACTTCGGGGGAGATTTTGGAGGTGAATGAGCACAACAAGAACTAAGGTAATGAGGGAACAAGATAATTATAACTCCAGGGGCAATAAAAAAAATCAATCCAAGAAGGAAAACTGTCCTGGTCTACTCACTGCTCAACTGTGACTAGCTCTCATGTGGTCATAATGATGCAAAGCCTGGATCCAGGTTGTATCTCAACAACCTACCAGAGGACCCTCAGGGGGCAAATACCCATGCTGTGCATTCTGAGGGGTCACCTCCAAGGCCTCCTTACCACTCAGAGTCAGCTTCAGATCCTGGCTGAAGACTTCAATGTGAAAGAGTAGAACATGGCGGCATTCAGGGAGCCCCAAAAAACAGCAGTTGGGAAGACAGCCAGCCAGGCAGCCACCCTAGGGAGGAAGCTGTGGCTGCTCATGCAAGAGAGAAAACACATGGAGGAAGCAAGTCACCAGGCCCTTCAGATCATGCCCCAAGTGCTTTGTGGTGCCCAAGCCCTGACACAGGAAACATCTCTTCTGAGAGAACACAAGACTGTGGTCAAAAAGGATAGTAAAAAATGTGAACAGGACACATCTCAATCTATGCAGTTGTCGGTAGAGACAAACCAGGCTAAGTCCAGAGAGCAGCTGCTGCAGAACCTCCAAGAAGCAGACGTGTGAGCATGTTGGGAGCTGACATTGAGGAGACACTGAAAACTCAGACAGAGCCGAGATTTCTGCCAGGCTGACAGGCACGCAGAACAACTTAGTGGTGGTCTCCATCCTTCAGGCCGCTCAGAAAACTGGGTGCACTCGGGGGCTTTGAAGGCCAGGCTGGAGGCCTTGACTGGTCCCCGGTTGCATACACACCGCTTGGTGTGGTATTTTATATGAACATGTTTTGGACCCAAATTCATTGTAGAAAACTTAAATCTTGGAAAGTGAAACCTCCGATAAGTTGGAGACACTGTGCATCAGATGCTGATGAGGATTTAGAACAATAGGGATGCCTATTCAGAGAAACAAATTGTTCCCCAAATGGCTGCCTAGTCAAGTGGGTCCAGTGAAGGACTGTCTCCCCTCCATCTCAGGAGAGGCTGGATTCCTTAACTGTCCTTCAGTTAAAGTAGGGCTCTGTGGGCAAGTATCTCTCTAGTACAGAACAGGAAACCCAGGGGGACTCCTCCCTCTCTGACCAGAAAGTGGGTGCTGAGGGGCTGAAAAGCAGGAGGAAGTGGGAAAGAGCCCTCTCAGGAAGGGTGGGGGTGAGCTGACATGGGCAATGGCATCTGGAGGTGGCAGGGCTGTGCCCACTGGGCTCTGTGCTCTTCAATTGAGAGAGAGAGAGAGACAGAGACAGAGACATACAGAGAGACTGACTCAGGAAGCAGCAGCAGGATCTACAACACACAAGGAAAGAATGAAACAAAATCTCTCCCAGAGTGAGTACTACAGTAATTTTTTCTCTCCCATTTGCAACATTTTTTTAAACAATTTATTATAAAAATTATAAATGATAAAAAAACACTATTGCACATAAATTCTACATTATACATATATACCTAATCAGAATAAAACATCTCTTCCTAAATTTTAAAAAGGAAGGCAGGTGTTGGTCGTCAGGCTCAGCGCAGAGCTGAAGGGCTGGGCTCCCAGTCTGCTCTGGGCGGGGCCCTCACAGCCCTTCCTCCCTCCTCAGGACGCTGCTTTCTGTGGGGCCAACACAGGGGTCTCACCCTTCTCTTTTGGGTGTGGCCATTTATTACATTGTAAATTCTGATGATTTTAAGATGGCATTTTTAACTATTTTCAGTGGGAAGTTGTGTCCATCCATCCAGTCTACCTTTGTCAGATGGAAATTCTAACACAAAACAGTTCAGTGACAAGGTGGCAGGTCTTAGAGAAGAGGCTCAGAGCCTGAGAACATGTGGAACATGTGGTTGAGGCTGATCTGCCAAGCGCTCTATAGTGACAGGGAATCTCATGTCATTTATTTTTGACAATAACTAATATTTGCTTGTTCATGCACACACAGAGAACTCAAAAGAAAATCAAGACTATACAAAAATAAATAAGTCACATCATCCTCTGTTCAACCAAGTAATCTCTCTGGTTTGAACCCACTGCAGTTAGAAAGTTCTCTTTTCCCAGAAAAGTCTATCTATGCTTTAATGTTAGCATTAGCTGTAAAAGAGCCACAGGCTAGAAGAAAATATCTGTGAAACACATACCTGATAAAACACATGTTTTAGAATATATAGAATCCATAAAATACAACAAGAAAACAAATATCTTTTCAAAAATTGAGCAAAACTCTGAAGTTACCAAGGAACGTACATTGATACTCAACATCATATATTGAAAGACATATGTAAATGAAATGCAAAGAAAGCAACAAGGACATGCTTTACTCACCTCTAATTTAGCCTAAATCCAAAATCTAGTACAGCAGCCCTCATTTATCCACATGCAATTCATTTCAAGTCCCCCAGGGGATGCCTGAACCACTAATAGGATGGATCCCTACACAGACGAAGATTTTCCCTATACATACATACATACATATGATAAAGTTTAATTTATAAATTAGGCACAATGAGATTAATAACAATAACTAAAATAAAATAGGACAATTACAACAATATACTAAAGTTGTGTTAATGTGGTCTCTCTCTAAATACCTTGTTACACATTTTGAAAATGTTTTGGACCCAAATTCATTGTAGAAAACTTAAATCTTAGAAAGTGAAACCTCAGATATGGGGGGCGGGGAGGGATACTGTGCACCAGGTGCTGACCAGGATTTAGAGCAACAGGGACGCCCATTCACTGCTGGCAGGAATACAAAATAGCCAAGGCCAGCCCCACCTCTGCTGGAGCAGGAAAGCCATCAGGGAGAAAACACAGGTCAGCGTCGGGAAGGTCCCGGTGGGCAGGGCTGGGCCAGTCTCCCCACCGCCTCACATTATCCTAATATGACCCCAGACACATGAGGATGTGTTCTCTTGCAGCAAGAGAAACCAGGAGATCTTGAAGTCAGGACATGCAAATGAGATGAAATCTGTTCACTTAATCCCCACAAGGCAAATATATCTCATACTGTAAAGAAAAATAATCACGAACAGAGGGAATCACATCAGTGTTGACATTCTCAATAGCCCACTGCAACCTCAGAAAGTTCCCCTCACAGCTTCCCCATAACCTGGTCCCACCCTCTCTGCCCCAGCCCCTCCCACCACAGGCCTCCAGGGTCTCACCTATAGGGGCTGTGAGATACATCAGAGTTCTGGGAACTGTTGCTACCTGGGGGAGAACAAAACAGAACCTGGTAAGAGCCAGAGAGAAGCGACTACAGGAGGAACTGATGGAGGGGTCACTCCCCCATGGGCTCCATCTACACTGTCCCAGGGGCTCAGGGACCAAACCCCTGATCCACACTTACCTGCAGCCTGAATGTAGCTTCCTCCTTTTCCACCTGTTGGAACAAACATCCTGTGAGACTAGAAAGGAGTCAAGCCATGAAGTCCAAAAGGAATCCCCTAGTTCTGGATCACAGGGATGTTTCCAGAAATGTGCCTGAAGACCCAGGCCAGACTAGGAATATAATAAAAGGATATGTGGGGCGAGTGGACCAACCATCTACTGGAGTCTGTCCTCAGCAGGGACCTCTCCTCTGACATTTGCTGGGAATCAGGATCCCATCCCCAGATTTATCAAAGCAAACAGTTGGTGATTCAATTTCATAAGTGCTTTACAAAAGACTGAGTGTTCTCAATTAGCTCCAGTTTGAGCAACAGGTGTATAGATAGTATTTCCATTAACCAGGTAGGGCAAGTTCTACCTGAGACCTGAAAGCCCCCAGTGGACAAGATCCCTGACTCCCTTCCCCACCTGGGCGCTTCTTCCTCCACATCACAACTGCAGCCACCGCAGCTCCAGTGAGCACAGCTCCAAGGAGAACCAGGCCAGCAATGATGCCCACGGTGGGGATAGAGGACTGAGGAGGGGGCACTGGAAGAGAAGGGAAATTTCCAGAAAGGCTCCTAATTCCCCCAAGAAGCTCTGTATCCATGTCCTCCCCCTTACCCCATTTCAAGACTCGGGGCTCCAGCAGCCCCTTATGCTGCACACGGCATGTGTATCTCTGCTCCTGTCCAGAAGGCACTACCACAGCCGCCCACTTCTGGAAGGTTCCATTCCCCCCAGGCCTGGTATCCACCAGCTCCGTGTCCTGGGTCAGGTCCTTCCCATCTCGCTGCCAGGTCAGAGTGATGTCCACAGGGTAGAAGCCCAGGGCCCAGCACCTCAGGGTGACCTCATGCTCAGAGGTGGGGTGGTGGGTCACATGTATCTTTGGGGGGTCTGAAAAGAAGGGTGAGAACATTCACACTTTGGGTTTTTCCTTCAAGGAGACTGAAGCAGCTTCAGTGACCATTCTCAGAATGGAGAGGGCAATGGAAAGAGGAAGCAGTAAATCCAAAAACCAGTGGAATATGGGATAATCTCTTACTCCTTGGAAAGTTCTAGAATCAGGGTGAGAGCACAGGGTAGGAAGATGCAGGTCTCTCTGGAGGAGAGCACAGAGTTTTGCTCTTGATCTGGGTAGAAAGTAAATGAGGAATCGATGTTAAATATATTCTCAGACTTTAAACCTTGACAGAGAAACAAATTGTTCCCCAACTGGTTGCCTAGTCAAATGGGTCCAGTGAAGGATGGTCTCCCCTCCATGTCAAGAGAGACTGGATTCTTTGTCCTTCAGTTAAAGTCGTGCCCTGTGGGAAAGTCTCTCTCTAGTACAGAACAGGAAATCCAGGGGGACTCCTTCCTCTCTGACCAGAAAGTGGGCGCTATTCTGACCATGATTCCATTTCAGCTGTGGGGTGCCAGTCACAGGGGAGGTCAGGAGTCCTCTAGGCCCCTCTTACCTGAATGCTGTAGCACCTCCTTTCCCATCTCCAGGAATCTGAGCAGCCACTCTAGGCACCTTCCCTCTACAAAGTTCCTGAAGTTCTCAGCTGTGCTGCCCGCCTCCCACTCGCGCTGGGTGATCTGAGCAGCCGTGTCCACCACGGTCCAGGAGCGCAGGTCCCCGTTCAGGGCGTGGTAATCGGCACCATCATAGGCCCACTGACAGTACCCGCGGAGGAGGCTCCCGTCGGTCCCCAAGTCGCAGCCAAATATCCTCTGGAAAGTGTGAGACCCTGTCCCCACCCAGCGGTCAGCCCCACGGTCAGCCCCACCTGCACCATGATCACCACGATCTCCTGCCATGAATAAACCTAAACTGAAAATGAAACCGGGTGAAAGTCCCGCGGGCTCCTTCCCAGGTCGAAGGACGGGGCAGGTCCCATAGCCTTGGGGTGCCCCTGGCCCTAGCAGGCTGGTGGGGGGTGGGGTGGAGACCTGCCCAAGGTCCTGTCGCTCACCGTCCTGGCTCTGGTTGTAGTGGCCGCGGAGGGTGTCCAGTTGCACTCGGTACCACTGTGCTGAGAATGGTCCTTCGTGTGTGTGGTCTCTTCCCCAAACCTATTGCTCAGTTAACCAAATTCAAATTCGTTCTACAATACACCTGAGCAATATCCCCCAGTCCAAAAGGTCAAGACCATCAAAACCAAGAAGACTCTGGGAGACTGACTCAGTCAGAGCTTTTGGAGACCGAATTGCAACTTAATGTTGTATGAGGGTGGAAGCCTGAGACAGAAAAAGAAAAGCTATGACATCCAAATATAGCATGAAGTCTAGTGATAAGGTATCAATATTGCTTCATTAGCTGCAAAAATAAAATAGTGATATGTTACCAACCGGGGACATGAATGTGGGAATTACAGGAACTTTTCTATAATTTACAAACAATTTTAAAATATAATAATGTCTACTTAAAAAATAACCCTCAGGAATGTAGACTGGTCCCGTCCCTGTGGAAAAAATAATGTTTGGCTTCTCAAATATTTAAAATGGCACAGCATATCACAAGTAATTCCACCCTTTGGTTTTTATCCAAAAACTACAACACTATATCAATGGCAGCACTATTTGCAATAGAAATGCCGTGGAAACAAGGTTAAGTGTCCAACAGCAGACGAGTGGATAAAGAAACTATGGTATAGTCACACAATGGGATGTTACTCAGCTGTAAGTGTAGATGGAATCTTTCCATTTATGACAACATCGATGGAACTGGAGAGGATTGTGCTGAGTGAAGTTAGTCAGAAGGAGAAAGACAGACTGTGGATGTTTATTTCACACATATGTGGAATATGGAGAAACAAAATAAAAGTCAAATAAAATCAAATCAAAGCAAACCTTAAGACTATGACTGCAGAGCTGAGGCTGTTAGAAGGGAGGGGAGGGGTGGAGGACATGGTGGAGGGGCCCAGTGGACTCTGGTGAAGGGCTGTGGGTGCTTTGGTGGTGGGTGGGCTGTGGGGAATACATCTGAAGAGATGTGAACCTATTCCTGTAAGTCATATGCAGTATTGTAAACCAGTGTTACCTCGATGAAGCAAGAAAAGATTAAAAAGTAGGGGCCTCCCTGGGTTATGTCCCACTGCCACCACGGTCCACAGCCCACGGTGAAGACCTGAGTTCAATCCCCGGCCAGGGAGCTACCCACATGGTGCAGTAGACCTCTCCTGTCTCCCCTGCTGCTCCCCTCAGCGTGTATATCAGTAGATGTGCCTGTTCTGCTCCCCACTCTCTGGTGAATCCTCTCACTCCCTCCCCATGCCTCTGATCTGCACCCCAGTTCTTCTATGCAAGAATAAATAAAATCTTTTTTTTTTTTAATAGAGGCATGTTTTATTTATTTATTTATTTGTTTTTGTTTGTTTGTTTATACATGCACTGGGTACAGTCAGAAGCGCGGGAGGGTGAGAGACTTCACCAGAGCAGAGCTGGGAGCAGAGCAGGCAGAAGGACCGAAGTACACTGCTGAGGGGAGCAGCGGGCGGCAGGAGAGGTCTGTGCGCCATGTGGGACCCTCCTCCGGTGGCCGGGGAGCAGCTGGGGATCGAACCAGTGCCGCAGAGGCCGCGGGCAGCTTCGCAACCCAGCGCTCAACCGCTGCGCCACCCGGGAGGCCCAAGAATAAATAAAATCTTAAAAAAAAAAAAAAAAAAAGATTAAAAAGTAGCCCTCCAAGGACATGGAGAAAAACAAATCCTTTTACACCATTGACAGGAATGTACACTGGTTCCATCTCTTATCCTCAGGGAGTCTTTCCTGTAGGTGACATCTGAGCTAAGCCTGAAGTAGGTGAGGGGTACTGTGTAATTGTGAAGAAGAGTGTTCTGGAATGCCCCTCTGCACAGCCCTGGCTCTGCTGGGGAAGCCCTGAGGCTGCAGCAGAGGTGGGGGGTGGGGCAGACTTCTGGAAGCACCTCCTGGTGAGGAGCTGTGGATCAGGGGTGAGTCTTCTGACCTGCTCCCAGTTGTGCTGGGATGTCATGAAATCCAGACACTGGGAGAGATGAAGGGACAGTGAGTGGAGGGGAGTAGGGAGAGGAGGGGAGGCTGAGGGGTCCACCCCAGCCATGTCTGTGCTCACCCTTTCCTGCACCCAGTGTGAGGGGTCAGGGATCTGGTGTGGTCACAAATCCCAGAGTCCCTGGATCTGGAGGGAAGTCACCACATTGTAAAGGACACAACCAGGTCTCTCCCCAGAGTGGACAAAGCCAAACTCGAAGCCACGAGAAATGTCTTTGCACAGATGAGTTTATCGGAGAAGGCTCTCAATAGATGAGTGGGGTCAGCATGCCGAACAACACACTCCCTGGATGGGGGAGTGCTGGGATTTACAAGGGGTGAAGGAATGTGAGGGAGGGACAGGGCTTCACATGCCCAGGTCCAGGAGATGCCCGCATCTAGATGACAGGAGTCAAAGGGTGTGACTGCCTCTGTGTGGGGCGGGGGGTTTCCTCAGTACCAGGGGATGTTTGTTTCAGGTGTCACTACCAACCCCATGAGGACAGGGAACTTCACTTAGGGATGTGACACCAGTTTTCCAAGATTACAGGAATGCTGGTGAGACAGGTAAGTGTTCGTCATGAGGAGGAGTGTGGGGAAGAGAGAACAAAGCGTGGTTGGAGTGAGATTCTGCCTCGTCCTAATTTTCAGTCTAGGGGAGGCTTTGTCACTAAGTGGAGAGGATCTGGCCCCCACCTGCAGGACAGCAATGTGAGGACTTTCTAGCCTTTGCGGTGCAAAACAGATTTCAAGAAAGGTGAAGTACAAGAAGAATGTAAAGTATCTCATAATCTTTTTATTGTTTATCTTTGTGAAAGTATAGTATATTATATGGTTGGAGTTTTATAAAACATTAATTATTTTCACCTACTACTTTTTTTTTCTTTTAAATGCGTCTACCAAAAATGTAAATTACATCTGTGGTTAAATTATACTACTATTGAACAGTACAGTTTAATTTTTATCTTTAGGTCTTTGCTTCATTTCAGTTAGTGTGTGGCGAGGGTGTCCGTCTGTTCCTGCTTCTGCTTAGTTCCCACATCACTGAGTTGCCTTGACTGCCTTTCTCATGAGCGTATCTGCGTGTTCTCACCACCCACTCTTTATTCTGCTCTACTGGCCTAGTCCATCCCTGTGCCAATACCACGTGGTTTTTGATCATCTGATCTTTATACTAAGTCTTGAAATCAGGTGCTATGCCTGCTCCAAGTTTCTTCCTTTTAAAAAAGTATTTTGACTCTTCAAACTCCTCTGAATTTGTATAAAAATTGTGCAAACAGCTTGTTAATGTCTTTTTAAAATAACTGTCAAGATGCTGATTGGCATTCAGATTCAGGATTGAATTGCTTTTAATCTAAAGATTAAAAGAATGGCACTGGGACCTAAGCATTGTTGAAAGAATTGATGTCTTAAGAACATGGAGTATCCCAACCCTTGAATATCTGTCCATTTATGTGAATATTCTTTGTTTTCTCTCGGTGGTACTAAGTAGATCTCTATGTGCAAATCTTAGACATTTTCTTCAAATTGATATCTAAATATTTTATTTTGATGTTATTATAAATGAATTTTAAAATTATCCATTTATCCTAATTTTACATCACTGGTACAAAGAAATACTATTGACCTTGTACCTACTCCACATTTTGGTATATTCACCTATTAATTCTAGAAGTTTTTTTTGTTTGTTAGGATTTTCTATATACATGGTCATGTCAGCTGCAACTTAAACATTTACTTCATCTTTATTATCCATAGTGCTTTTATTTCTTTACCTTTCATAATGTTTTATGTCTGATCTCTATACAATGTACAGTAGAATGTGAGAGTCAACATCCCCTTCTTTTCCTTATTTTAATTCAAAAGTATTCAGTTTTCACCATAAAGTATAATGCAGCTATAGGCTTTTCATACATGGCCTTTTCCAAATTGAAGAAGTGCTATGTTTCTCCAACATTACTGAGTTTTTTTTTTTTTTTATCATGAATAGGTTTTAAATATTGAAAGTGCCATTTCTGCATGGAGGTGATCCTATGGTTATTCTTTCTTATATATGAATATAACACATTAGATTGATGTCTATAAATTCATCCAAACTTGCGTGTTGAGATAAAACTTAGTGTCCTAGTACATTAACTTAGATTTTCTGATATTTCCTAAAGGATTTAGGGAGAGACAATTATCTGAAGTAACCTTTGACACAGTTGTCTGGTTTTGACATAGGTTATAACAGCCTCATTAGATGATTTGGAGGGTGTTTCTCCCTCTGTTCTCTCCAGCAGCTTGTGTAGGTCTGGTGTTAATACTTATGTGTTTGATAGATTCAAAGTGAAGCCATCTGAGCCGGAGGTTTTCCTTGGGGAATGTTTTTAAATTATGATTTAATTTCTTTAATTCATACAGGATAATCTAGGGTTCCTATTTTTTTTATATATATATAGCTTTTGCTTTTTTTTTTTTTGTGGGACCCTCGCCGGTGGCCGGGGATCAAACTGGTGCTGCAGAGGCTGCGGGCAGCCTCGTAACCCAGTGCTCAACCGCTGCGCCACCAGGGGAGGCCCTAGGGTTCCTATTCTTAATTCAGTTTGGCAATGTGTATCTTTAGGGTAAATGTTCATTTCACTGCAAATTTATTTATTTATTTTTTAAATTTTATTTTTATATTCCCCATACAATTGCAACCCCCTTATTTTGAACCCAATCCCTCCTTTCCCTCCCCCCCCCCATAGTGTGCTCTGGTTCATAGTTGTTTGTTGATTTTGATTTTCACTTTCTTATAGTTATTCTTTTTCCTGGTCCCTTATTTAAGTTTTCTAGATTCCTGCTATGAGTGAGACCATCTGGTATTTTTCTTTTTCTTTCTGGCTTATTTTACTGAGCATGATCCCTTCCAGCTCCAACCATGTTGCTGCAAATTGCATGTGTTTATCTTTTTTGATTGCTGAGTAATATTCCATTGTGTATATGTACCACATCTTCTTGATCCAATCATCTATTTTTGGCCATTTGGGTTGTTTCCAAAGCTTAGCTATTGTAAACAGTGCTGCTATAAACATAGAGGTGCAGGTGCTCTTTGGAATTGATGTTTCTGTGTCCTTTGGGTAAATACCTAAGAGTGGAATTGCTGGATCATATGGAAGCTCTATCTTTAGTAGGTTGAGGAATCTCCATACAGCTTTCCATAGTGGTTGGACCAGTTTGCACTCCTACCAGCTCACTGCAAATTTATTGCTTAAGTTGTTCATCATAGTCTCTTATTATCCACTTCATATTCTAGATTTCCCCGTACCTCTGCTTCTCCTATGTTCCACAAATTGTGCTTTTATGCTCATAGAGTTCAAAAACATTCCAATTTTCCTTGTGATACCGTCTTTATTTTCCCCCACCACCATGCCTTGGATCTCTTGTCCACTTTCCTCCCTCCTCACTCTTAAACTCAGCACTCTCAAGGTGTTTGTTAATGTCCACTAGCTTTTCTATACATGTTACTTAATCAAATCATGCTAAGCAAATATCCGGTTTCTCTTTCTCACTCTGACTTTAATATACATAGTTCTCTCAAACTTCCTCCACTTTGCTGAAAATATCTTAGTTCACCTTTCCTTATGGCTGAATACCGTCCCACAGTGCAGGTAGCCCACATCTTGATCCAGCCCTCTCTCAGTGGCCCTGGTTATTGTAAATAGTGCCATTATAAGCACTGTAGAACATATTATTATTTGCATTGATGGTTCCATATCCCATGGATAGATGCCCAGGAGTAGGATTGCTGGGTAATATATCTCTTGTTTGCTTACATAATAGAATTTCAGAAGCTCTGCTTGTGGATCACATTCTTAAAGTGTGATCTTTAGACACCTGGAGCTCATCGCAAAAAGAAAATTCTCATGCTCTGTCCACAAGTGCTACATTTGGTTCTCTCAGTGTTAAAGTCCAGGAATCTGTGTTTTCAACAATCATCCTAGAATAACTGCACTAAGGCTTGAGAACTGCTGCTTTAGGTGGTGGGGAATCTGTGGGGGGGTGGGGTGGAGGCTGGAAATGGATGGTGATTTGCACCTGAGCACCTGTCACTGCTCCTACTGGCATCAGTGGGCAGATCTGGGGACACGTGGGGAACACAGACCTCCGATCCTCATGAGCCACACCATGTGATGCAGGGAGGCTGACATACCTGTCCCTTCACTGGCGCCAACATTAGGCTGACATGATAGGACCCCTGACTCTGGTAATTAACCCACTTTGGAGCAAGTTTTCATGAGAGGCCATGGGAAATCATATCTCTGTCAGGCTCACAGGGTCAGCTATGTCCTGGTCCTCAGAGGCCAAGGAATGGGAACTTTTTCCTACAAAAATATACTGAAAAGCAAAAATATACCCTGTTTTTCTATATTAGTGAAGGTCACCCGCCCTTTTTGTAATCCAAGATCACCTCTATTATTGGAGATTTTCATGCAGGTCAGTGTGGTTTCTGGGGTGAGAGAGCCCAGAACTTTCCCCTGGTGACCCTCATAGTCCAATCCCTAACTTGTAGAGAGAGATTCTTCCCGTCATTCTTATGACGCTCCAGCCACCCAAGGCTGCAGCTCCCCATGTGACAGCGTCCAGGAGCTAGGACCAGGAGCTTCAGGTGAGCAGTGTCTCGGTCCAGAACCAATAGCACTGCTCAGGAAAGAGACTGAGGGTCAGAGTGATGATAGATACGGAACCCCATGTCCTCCCCCTGGGAAGTCTCAGAGCAGATGACAGGAGCGAACTGTTGCTCAGTTTTTTCCTCTGGAAGCTGAGAAATGTCATTATTAGTAATGAATATTATTGAAACAGCTTGACTTCATTATGCTCTTACAATACACAGAGAAACTTTACTGCTCACGCGACTCTGGAGGCAAAGGGGAAAGTGTGGCTTCTCCTTCCCAGGAGAGAAGTGGGTCTCAGGAGGGCGTGGTCTGTGGGTGACTTGCTCCCTCGAGTAGAAGAGCAGCTCTAATGGGAGCCTGGAGGTGATCTTACTCTGGTGTCTGCAGTGTCCACGTGGGGAGAGGGGTCTCTAGGCATCTCTGCCCTTAATGTCCATCCTCACTGTCTGTGGCTGCATAAGCTGTTGGTGTCTGATGTGGACACTCACTCTGCAGCTCACAAAGTCCCATGTGTCCTTCATTCTCTCTGGGTTGCTGGCCATGACTGTTGTTTACTAACAAAAAAATCATTTCTTTTAAAATTCTAAGTTATTTCTTCACTAGAGAATATCAAATGTTCCCCTTGATGTTATTTTAAGCCCAGCTGCTCCCCCAACACAAGCCTTTGAGTGTCTTTCATTATTTCATTCACAAATATTTACCAATCTTCTACAGCTCCACCAGGAGGAAACAGGAGCATCTGTGTTGACTGTGGACCCTAAAAAGGTCTTCACACATGTGCTCACAGGCCTCACCCTGGAGAGCTTCCTCCTGCACCTGTGCCGTGTCCTGAAATCCCCCTGGCCCTATAACAACAGTGTGTTACGTCACTTCACTACATAGGATTCTTACAAATCAGCGTCCTATTGATATCGAACCTTGATTCCTCATTTTCCCTCTATATTAACAACATTTTAGTGAGGAGATTTGAAGTTCTTGCAGAGATAACAGACACTTTCTCCTACATGGCCCTTAGATTGATATTGGCACCAGAATTTAAAGCTATGGTCAAATATCTTGAATTATATTCAACCGAGGATAAGGAATATACTCGTTATAGATAAATGGCTTCCATGGCTGAAATATTTTTCTCCATGTTCCATGAGGGAAGAGCAGGAGGAGGTGAGTGTCCAGCTCTTCTCTGGGGACCCTCAGTCTCTGTCCTCCCTCAGGTATCAGGGGATGAGCAGAGATGGGGAGTCAGGGCCCTGGGCTGTGTCCAGGTTCTGCCATCACTGGCCTGATGGTCTTTCCATTGTTCTCCCACATGGGCAGAGTGAGAATGACCTGAAGTTCTTTCCAGCTCAAGTCCTCACATGTCCCACAGCCCTGACTGTCTGGAGTGTCCCCTCCCTTATTTAGTGTCGCTTCTCAGGGCTGAGCAGAGAAGGAAGGTTCCAGGTGTCAGCACATACCCTACAGGGGCAGTCACCACTTCCAGCCTCAGGTCATGTGGCTGCAAGAAAATGCCCACTGGCCAAGTCTGCCTCAGAGGGGATGTGGGTGAGGGTTGGGGGGGTGGTGGGGACTGCTCCTCTGGGGGGCTGATGAGTATCCTGCCTCAGGCTCTGGGAGAAGCCATCATGACTCACTGTCCCTCTAGCAGATGGATGTGGAGCCAGAGTCTCACCAAGGTCATTCTATAAATCCATTTGCCAGCCACTCCCGTTAGCCTGTGTGCACGGATCAGCTCTGTGTGGTATTTTTCACCATCCCTGGGAGCAGAATGCAGGCCCCATCAACAGGAATTAGATCTGGGTCCCTGGGGTGTGGGTATTAGGCTCTGCCTGGCTCCCACAGAATACTCACATGGAGGTGGTGCCGGCAGCCCTTCCTTTTTCTCTACTCTGTGACCTCATGGGAGGTCCCCCTGGGAGGATGAAAACAGTGGGATAAACATGGGTGCTCCCCTCCCTGCACGCCCCTCCTCCCCGGGCCTGGGGGAGCCAGTGCCTGTGTCTGTCTGACCACATGTATCTCCTGGACACTGGGCTGTGGGGTTGGAGAGGCAGCCCCGAGGGGGTGGGAGACACAGATTCTGAGATCAAAGGAGAGCCAGGGCTGGGGTGCTGGGGACCAGCCTCCGGCAAAATGTTGTGTCAAGGGTTCCTGAAAGGATGAGAAGGCATCTGTGAAAATGAAAACGGAAGGGCTGAGGGGAAGGGGATGAGGTAGAATGAGGAGACACTGACACTGGATGAGGTGCTAGTATCTTCTGCTGAGAGACTCAGCAGGTTCTTTATTTATACATTTTTTGCAAGCAGTGAGATGACATTATCATGTGCATAGAAACAAAGCAGAAACAATCAGTGCATCTCTTTTTCCATGGGCTTTTGGCCACTACATGCTCTCAGCAAGAAGGCAACCTTCAAGCTTAATAAAAAACTAAGCCTTACACTAGAACTCATTGTTTAAGCTAAACAATAACCTAAGACAGTGGATCGCCGCCAGTACATCCCTATCAGCTAAAGCCTAAGCAAGAAAAGACTTTTCTTATCCTCATGGCCTTCTGCCGGGGACCGGCTGCTACTCAGCTATCAGAACATTTTCTACCTAGAAACTCCTTAACTCAAATAGCTTCATTTAAAAACTTTCCCAAGAAACTTCAAGAGAAGGCAAAAGAAGGACCTACTATAATTATTGTATTGTAATGCTTGTCAGGCATGTTCAACAAACCATCTCCCATTGTCCAGTGGGCCAAACAGCCCAACAACTAATTTCTAAACAGATAATTTTCTGTGCCATTTACTGACAGTATGCTGACACATATAATTTATTGCCTAATATACTTTCTGATAAATTTTTCTCTCTCTATGACCAAGAACAAAAAGCAAAGGGATGCCATATCATCAGCCCCACGGTGTGTGGCCTTTTCTCTTAGCTGCTTGTCAGTATCCTATCTGGCTGGGGCAACAATGCCCCCTGCAGCACTGGGGGGCTTCTGACTCAGCAGACTCCAGGCTGTGGGATAGGACATGGAGTGTTTCTCTGAACATCATCTGCTTTATCGAGGATAGAAGGTGCCTGGAGGGATTATCGTTGGGAGAGTGAAATTATGACTGAAAGGACCTGACCCACAGAAGGTTCTCAGTGCATTATAATTCACCCCGTGGGACACATGAAGGAATATTTAGTTCAGCACATTCATAATCCCCATAAAATTCAAATTTTCTCCTTTAAGTTCTTTATTTGATTTTCTTAATTTGATCTTGGTGTCATTTATTATACTTAGAAATTTCCTAGGCTGGCTTATTTGTAAGTACTCCTTAATCATTTTGCCATGTGGGAATTCACATGTTATGGTTGGAAATTCTGGATACTATTTCATGTTGAGATTGAGTTTAGTGATGTGACAAACTTGCAATTCTCTAATCCTACTGAAGTTAAAAACCCACATAACCAAAATCCACAGAAGTAGCGAAGATGTCTTTTCCTCAAGGTCAGTACATTATTGCAACTCTGAGAATGACCCCCAGGGACACTCGGGTCTCAGGAGGCTCCTCTCTCCTGGGCCTGTGGGGATCCCAGCACTAGGAACCTTCCACAGAGTGGGGAGGGAGGTGCTGACCAGCTCCCCAGGGTCCATCACTCAGGGGGAGGAGACACAGGCCTCAGGGAAGAGCCAGGTCTCCATGTCATAATAGCAGGTTCCCAGGTTCTGGTAAGTCCCCCAAGTATACAGTTTCCCTCAGTCTCTGGATGAAACCTTGGACTCCAGAGTCCCTGTTATTTGCTTGTTTCCAGGGATGAAAGCATCTCCTCCTGGGAATCAACCCTAAATTCTCCATCACTAGGGTGAGGAAAGAAGTTGAATAATAGAATCTCAGACTCTGTTTCAGACATTCTAGCAGCCAGGTGATTTCTGGCCTCACTGAATTGGGGGCTCCCTCACTGAATTGGGGGCTCCGTGCAGTCTCCACATGGTATCAGACAGTGCAATAGGCTCTAGGGGGTGTCTGCTCAGATTGCTCATAACTGGGGGTCTGGGTTTTAACCTGTTCCTTTCTTTTCCTTAGTTATTACTACTTGGGGGACCTTTCTAAGCTCAAGACTTCAAACATCATTCATCCTATCACCTCCCAAGTCTATTTCTTAACTCCGATTTTTCATCTATTCTCCAGACTTGTCTGTCCAGTTGCCAACATCACTTTCATTTCTAATAGATCTCAGCTTCACCTTTCCTAAATTGAACACCTAGGATGCCCACATATGGTTCTTCTGGGGTCTCCTCATGTCACTGAGGCTCCACCTCTCTGCCTGCACAGTCTGAGACACTGTCATCCTTGACCCCTTTCTCACAGCCCAGCAGTAGGAAATGCTGTAAAGTCCATGTCTAAATATACACAGATCCAATCACTTCCTATTATTTTCCTGTTCTCCTCTCCTCCCCCAACCTCTCTGTCCTGGGACCTGCACTGGTTTCCTCCATTTCTTTTCCGACCTCGCATCCTTCCATGCTGCACAGCGGCCAGACTGAGGCTCCTAAAGAGAAGTCCCACAGGTGTGTATCTGTTCAGAAGCTCTTGTCACGCCACATCTTACTCAAAGTCAAACCCAACATCCTCCAGGCCTGAATGATCTGGGTACACACAGATCTTATCTCAGGTGCCCTCCAGTCCAGCAGTCTTTATCTCAGTCACACAAATTCCTGCCTAAGGTATCTGCACTGGAATTTGTCCTGCCTGGACTGAACTTCTCTGGACAATGCCGTGGGCAAAGTGTCCTTCTTTCTGAAAGGTCACCTAAGTGAGGCCCACACTGACCACGCTAGGGAGCAGGCATCCTCCCTGTCCTCACACACTCTGGGCAGGGTTACTTAAGGGAAGTTTTAGAGGGAGAAGCTGTAGAGGAAATAGAAATCCAACAGGACATTAAGACAAAAAATTACCGAATCATCCTCTCTACTAATACCAGCAGTAGTATTCTTTAAAAAGATGTGAAAAGATTGAAAGAATAATCCAGAATATAGTACTAAAATGAGGCCAAGAACAGGATGAGTCTGGAAATCAATTTCTAACATCATGTACTCCAGTATGCAGGGGCCACCCTGGGTCTTGTGGGGACAATGCAGATGCCTCCTGCTGCTGTCAGAGACACCCAGAGGAGATGAGGCCTGTTTGCTAAATATGAACAGACATAAAAAAGTAAAAACCAAAATAAAATATAAACACATAGAGTATGAATACTGAGGACCAAACTGCCCTGAACCTAAGTTGACCAGGCCACAGACAGCCTCCACCCACATCCTGGAGACAGGACAGTGCCAGGTGGTGTCTGAGTCCCTGTGATCACAGGTCCGGCTGGGACAGGCGCTACTGAAGCACAAGGACAAAGGAGTAGAGAGATGACCCCTGAGGAGTGACCATGAGTACCGACTAGACACAGGCCCCAACTCCCTTGGCTCTCACAGCCTCTCCTGCCCCTACTTGCACAGATTCAGCACAGCGAACGTGTAGTTCTGGCTGGTTCTCCTGTCTCTGATTTATGTAATCATAAATTTTAGTAACCCCACTAATGAACTCATCAATCTTATATTTATTTATATAAGAACTGGGGTACAGGCCACATGTGGGGGGTGAGAGGATTCACCAGGCAGATCTACTGAAAGACACTGCTGAGGGGAGCAGCTGGCGAGACAGGAGAGGTCTGCCTCACCATATGTGTCTTTCTGTGGCTGGCCACGAACCGAACCCGTACTGCAGAGGCTGCGGGCACTTTCACAGCACTGTGCTCAACTCTCTACACCACCAGGGAGGCCCTCATAGGCCTTTTGCAACAGGAAAACCAGTGGATGTTGAAGCCACGAAGTGAAGATGAGAAGAAATCCTGCATCACTCAGTCCCTACAAGGCAGCTGTCCTCACCCTGTAAAGGAAAATGATCATGAACAAAGTTACGGAAGTGTCAACATTCTCAATAGTCCACCGCATCCTCAGAATGTCCCCCTCACAGCTTCCCCATCACCTGGTCCCATCCTCTCTGCCCCCAGCCCCTCCTACCCACAGGTCCCAGAGTCTCATCTATATGGACCATAAAAGAATCACTACTATCCAGGGAACTGTCACTGCCTGGGGGAAAACAAAACAGAACCTGGTCAGAGCCACGAGAGATGAGACCACAGGAGGGACTGATGTGGGTGACACCCCCATGGGCTCCTTCTACACTGCCCCCAGGGCTCAGGGATAAAACCCCTGATCCACACTTACCTGCAGGCTGAGTGTAGCTTCTTCCTTTTTCCCCTGTGGGAAGAAACATCCTGTAAGACCACAAAGGAGTTGGGCCACGAAGTCTTAAATGAATCCCCTAATCTGGGCCACAAGGAATGTTCCAGAACTGTGCCTGAAGACCCAGGGCAGGACCAGAAAATATGAAGAAAGGAGATGAGGGAAGACTAGAGCAACTACCTCTCGGAGTCTGTGCTCAGTAGGGACCTTCCCTTCTTGACATTTGCTGGGAATCAGGATCCTATCCCCAGAATTATCAAGGTGAACAAGTGGTGTTTCATTTTCATAAGTGGTTTACAAAGAGCGAGGAATAGCAATCAGCTCCAGACTGGGCAACATACGTGTGTGGGTGGTACTTCCCATTTACCGGGTAGGACAAGTTCTACCTGGGATTTGAAAGCCCCCATTGGACATGATCCCCCCACTCCCTTCCCTACCTGAGTGCTTCTTCCTGCACCTCACAGCTGTAGCCACTGGAATTCCAATGTGAACAGCTACAAGGAGAACCAGGACAATAGCAAGGAAGACCATGGGGGAGGCAGTGGGCTGAGGATGGGACACTGGAAAGAAAGGGAAGGTGAGACTGTGCCCCAGGCCTCATCCTGACCCTCTGAAGGTCTCCAGAAGGGCTCCTGATGCCCCTGAGAAGTTCTGGGCCCACATTCTCCTCCTTACCCCAAGTCAGGACTCGGGGCTCCAGCAGCCCCTCATGCTGTACATGGCATGTGTATCTCTGCTCCTCTCCAGAAGGCACCACCACAGCCGCCCACTTCTGGAAGGTTCCGTCCCCCCCAGGCCTGGTCTCCACCAGCTCCGTGTACTGGGTCAGGTCCTCCCCATCTCGCTGCCAGGTCAGGGTGATGTCCGCAGGGTAGAAGCCCAGGGCCCAGCATCTCAGGGTGACCTCATGCTCAGAGGTGGGGTGGTGGGTCATGTGTGTCTTTGGGGGATCTGAGGAGAAGGGTCAGAACTCACACTTTGGATTTTTCCCTCATGGAGACTGAAGCAGCCTCATGTGACCATCGTGAGAATGGACAGGGAAAAGGGTTTGGAAGAGGAAGCACAAAACCTATAAACCAGCCTGATCTGGGGAGTCTGGGATAATTTGTTTCTTAAAATGTTTTACAATCAGGGTAACAGCTCAGGATAGGAAGATGCAGGTCCCTAAGGAGGAGGGCACAGACTTAAGTTCCTGACCTCAGGACACAAAAAAGCAGGAGTCAGATCTGAAAAATGTTAATCAGAAGAAAACCAAGCCATAGTGAGAAACTGAAGGTTCCCACGGTGGCTGTCGGATCAAAAGGAGCCAATGAAGGGTGATTTCAGGGATGGTCCATCCCCTCCAGCTCAGGAGAGACTGGATTCCTTAACTGTCCTTCAGAAAAAGCAGGGCTCTGGGGCAAGTCTCTCTCTTGTACAGAACAGGAAAACCAGGTCTCCTCCCTCTGTGACCAGAAAGAGGTCTGTGTTCTGACCAGTACTCCACTGCCCCTGGGGTGTCAGCCTGAGGGAGAGCTGAAGCCTTGCAGGCCATGCTTGGCCCCTCTTACCTGAGCGCTGCAGCATCTCCTTCCCGAACTCCAGGTATCTGCGCAGCCACTCCACGCACGTGCCCTCCAGGTAGTTCCTCAGTTGATCCGTGTCTCCGGCCGCCTCCAACTTGCGCCGGGAGATCTGCGCGGCCGTGTCCGCCGCGGTCCAGGAGCGCAGGTCCTCGTTGAGGGCCAGGTAATCGGCGCCATCATAAGCACACTGATCGTACCCGAGGAGGAGGCGCCCGTCGGGCCCCAAGTCGCAGCCGTACATCTCCTGGAGGGTGTGAGAGCCTGTCCCCGCCCCGTCACCCCGCGTCACCCCGCGGTCACCCCGCCCCCCTCCCGGGAATAAACCGAAACTGACGCGGGAACCTCGCGGGGAACGTCCCGGGGCACGTCCTTTCGAGGGTCCGGCGGGTCCCCCTGCCTCGGGGGACGCTCGGGCCCGGGGTCTGGGGTCCCCGCCCGCCCGCGGGGTGGGGTCGTGAGCGCCCCGGGTCCGCCCCGCTCACCCGCCGCGCTCTGGTTGTAGTAGCGGCGCAGGGCGCGCAGGCTGTCTCGGAACGTCTGTGCGGCGCCCTTCGCCTTCCTCGTCTGCCGCGCCCAGTACTCCGGCCCCTCCAGCTCCACCCAGGGCGCCCGCGGCTCCATCCTCTGGTCCAGGGAGTCGCTGTCGAACCGCACGAACTGCGTGTCGTCCACGTAGCCCACGGCCATGAAGCGGGGCTCCCCGAGGCCGGGCCAGGATATCGCGGTGTAGAAATACCTCAGGGAGTGGGAGCCTGGGGGCGGGAGGGAGACCCGGGCTGGGGAGACGGGGCGGGAGGGGCGGGGGCGAGGGGGCTCCCCAGAGAGTTAAGGGGCGGCGGGACAAGGAGGGCTGGGACTCACCGGGCAAGAGGAGTTGGGGGCTGGGAGGAACAGAAAGGGGCCAAGGCAGGGTTGAGGGGGGACAACGGGGCCGGCGATGGCGTAAAAAGTCGTTACCGGGTCCAGCGCCGCCGCTGCCGTACCGGGGTCCCCTCGCTCCTCCCTCCTCAGCGGCGGGTTCCCTCCCGACCCGCACTCACCTGCCCAGGTCTCCCCCGGGCCAGGACCCCCAAGAGCAGCAGCAGGAGGGGCGCGGGCCCCATGGCCCTCACCTACTCGGCCAGAAACGCTGGGTGTCCGGGCTGGCGAGTGTAGACTGTGTAACCGGGGCCGCGGGGCTGCTGATTGGCTGCTCTGGAGACCTCCAGGCAGTGGGGAGAGAGAACTGGGGTGACTCACCAGTACCCAGGAAGGAAGACCCGACACAGGTTGAGAGAGACAGAAGTGAAAACATGGGGAGTTGGGGCATCTCCGACAGTAATCTTCCTGCTCCCAGACAGGGCCCTGGGAACCCGGACCAGACTTTGCTCCGCCCCCTCCTCCTCTTCAGCGCCAAGACCTTTGTCAGTCCCTGGTTCTGGGTCTCAAACATATGTGCAGGATAATGAGATGTCTTGACGAACCAGACCACAAAGGTGCAGCCCAGCTCCAAAGGCAGTCTCATTTTTATTTAGCATCTGACAGAATATAAAAAAGATCAAAGAAGCAGCAGGCAAACAGGGAATGCACAAGTGTGTGGGGGACACATAACCACCTGACCCCGGCCAAGGCTGGGAAATCAGGGAGAGTCAAAGGAGGCCTCAGTGGTTTTGCTAATCCAAGCATAACATCTATTGCTATTTTCAGCACGTATAGGTCCTCATACCAGGATTTTTGCCTTAAGAGATTCCTTATCTCATCTCAAACTTTGCCAGTTTCAGCTGTGAAAGACACAGAATAGTCAAAGCAAAGAATAATCAAGGCAAAGACACAGAATAGTTGAGGCACACGCTCCCACAACCTCTTCCAGGAGGGTCCATTAGTAGCCGCGAGGTTATGGCTGTCCCGCAAAGTGGGTGAGGAAGGGGAACAAACAGGGCAGAGGAGACGTTCAGGGAGGAGGTGACCACACCTGCCCTGGTCAGGCACCAGGAGCCTCCTCCCTGCCCCCCACACTCTCACCCTCTCCAGTCTCTGCTCCCCACGGCGCCCCAGGCCTTTCCCAAAATGGACCCTCACCTGCCCTCTCTGGTCCCCACACCAGGCAGGGAGGGCTCACAGGGCCTGGCATCACCTCCACTTTCTCTCCCACCCCCTTTCCCTGCAGCCAGGAGAGCAGAGAGGGGCTGAGCGTCCACGATGTGCCAGGCCCTGAGCTGAGACTCACAGGCATCAGCTCCCTGTCCTTACCACATCCCTAACCTCACCACACACAGGTGAGGAAACTGAGGCTCTCGGGGGGAGTCCCTGTGCGAGTCCCACCCACCCGCTGGGGGGACGGGCTGGAGTCTAGGCCCAGGGCAAGGCCCAGGCCCCCCAGCACCCGCTACAATAGCTCCAGCTCCCACCCTTCCCAGCCCTGGACCCGCCCTGTGCCCAGCACTGGGATTCTCACCCTGTCTCCTTGGGGTTACTCACCTCCTTGTCACCTCCTGCTCCCCCTGGGGCTCAGGTCACCTGTCACCTCCTCAGCTGGACTCTTAGTTACAAATACACAGAGTCCTGGGACTGCTCACTCTGCAACCCCAATGCCTGGTGGATGGTACCCTAAATACATGTAGTTTGAATACAGAAATGAATAAAGTAACATAAAAAGCAGCTCAGGAGGACTCTTGTTTCTGGTAATGGCAGGTTAGGACTTTCACACCAACCAACACACTGCAAACAACCATGTGTTTTGTTGGGATTTGCCCTGCTTATGCACACAGGGGTTTCAGATATTTCAAGGGCTGTTATGTGAAAAAGCATCCTGATTCTGTTTGAGCAGAGATCAAAACTGGTCATAGTCTTGGGTTAAGGGGATCATACATGGGTTAAACTGGACACTCTGCGCAAATGTCTGTCTCATTGTCATTGTTGGCTTCTTGTTCCCTTTTTCATCTGCACTCTGAAAACTCAACACTTTCTCCCGCTCCCAGTATTTTTCAGTTTGCACATGATTACAGTGACAACAAAAACAAAATAAGTTTTACAGTAAAAAGAAAAAATCTTACCTCAAATCCTAGAAGCTAATACAATAATCCAACGTCTATTTCTATGTATCATTGCAGTGTGGAGCATCAGTTCTGGGACATTCCTCCTGAACACATCATTGTTGATGAAGGGAGGGAGAGAGGTGGGGGCACTAGTCTGGGTTTATCTGAGATCTTCCCCTGATGCACTTGGAGAGTTACCCTGCAGAGAAGGGAAAATCCCTGAAATGACAAACAATAATTTCACCCACACTAACATTACACCTTCCTCCAGGAGCTGAGGCTGACCCTGTTCCATCTCTCCCTCCCTTCCTGGACTGTGGACAAAGACTCAGCTCAGTAACTGGGGTGACCTGGGCTAATCCTGCCCCTGGGCCAGGCCAGCAGGGCACACACTCCTCCCTCCCCCTGTGGGACTCCCTCCAGCTCTGGTCTAGAGAGAGAGTAGCTGCAGCCCATGGAGGAAGTGACCCCCTGGGAAACAGAGGGGCTGCCAGGCTGGAGCTCCCTGACTCCAAAGGAGATAAGCTTGGAGTGAGCATTAGAGGAGGAGAGAGGGACCTGAGGTGGGGAAGAGGGGGCCTCCCCATCCCACCAGGGGTCCTGGAACAGGGCCCCACCCAGGCTCCCACAATCTAACCATGGGAATAGTCCCAACGCCCCCTCCTTCTTCCAGATACTCTGCTGCCACAAGTCCTGCTCCAAACCTGCTTGATTTGTAATTGTCTTTCCACTGTCTTATATTGTGTGCCTGTCTCTCCTGTCACACACACACACACACACACACAGACACACACTCATTCATTCCTCTCACACTGGGAACCAGATCCTCAATACTGGGTTTTTCCAACCCTGTTTCTGGTCCCCCTCAGAGCCGCCCTCTCTGCAGTGTCTCTACTCAGTGGTGTCTGAGCAGCCCCAGGAGTCCCTGCACCTCCTGCCTCTGCCCTTGTGGGAAACCAGCCCCTCACCCTGCATGACAGTGAGGAGGCGAAGGCAAAGTCCTGAAATCAATGATGGGTGGAGGAGACAATTTACTTTTTCTCTTGCATTTCATTTTTTTATTATTGCATTTTTTGAGGTAGGATTTATTTATACACTGTACATGATTCAGAGGGACAGGTTCACACCTCTTCAGGTGTTACCTCACCACTCCCACCTTCAAGGTGCCCAGAGTCTTCAACCCTACTCCTCCAGACATTCTTACTCCTTTTACTGCCCACTCTCACCCCTGTCTGGTAGCCTCAGTTCCGCAGCCAGATTCCAAGGGTTTGGTTAGGTATTATCTCCCCCTTTGCATTATTTCTTTTTTTTTTTTTTTAAAAAGAGTTTTTATTTATACAAGAGCTGGGGTACAGGCCAGAGGTACGGGAGGGTGAGAGGATTCACCAGAGACAGAGTGGGGAGCAGAACAGGCAGACGGACCAAAAGCACTGCTGAGAGAGCAGCAGACGAGGCAGGAGAGATCGGCCGCGCCATGTGGGAATCTCCCTGGCTGGCCGGGAATCAAACCTGGGCTGTGGGACAGCTTCACAGCACTGTGCTCAACCCACTGCCCCACCAGGGAGGCCCTGCGTTGTTTCTTTATATTATACTTATCAGTGATATCATCTGGTATTTGTTGTTCTCCTTCTGATTTCATTTAGTATTTCTTCCAGTTTCATCCACATTGTCGTAAATTCAAGATTCTATCTTTTTTCACAGCTGAGTAGTATTCCATTGTGTATACACACCACATGTTCTTTCCAGCTTCTTCTCCTCCTTGCTCAGCTCCACCCTCCCTTGAGTGGAGCAGGGAACACTCACCTATTGTTAAGCACATTGGTTGTTTCCATAATGGACACAGAGCTCATATATCCCTTCAAATTAGTTTTTACATTCTTTGGATAAATACCAAGGAGTGGAAAGCTGGGTCATCTGGCAGATGTATTTTTTAATATTTTAAGGAACTCCCACTCCCAAGCTTTTCTCCTTAGGGCTGGTAGGGCTGGACCAATTCCCACCAATGTATGAGGGTTTTTTCTCCCCACACCTTGCCAACACTTGTTTCCTGTCTTTTTAATATGAGCCATCTCACAGGTGTGAGGTGGTGTCTTATTGTGGTTCTGATCAGCATCTCCTGATGATGTGTGATGTGTATTTTCCATGTGCCTGTGATCATGTGCATATTCTTTGGAGAAGTTTGTACTTAGCGCCTCTCCCCATGTTTTGATTGGGTTAATTACGATCTGGTTGTTGAGTTCTGTATGTTATTTATATAATTTGGATGTATGATGTGCAAATATTTTCTTCCACTCAATATTATATGTTTATATTTAATGAGTTTCCTTTGCTGTGTAGGAACTTGTTAGTTTGATGTGGTTCCAACTGGTCTATATTTGCTTTTGTTTCCTAGGAAAACAGAAGACATTGAGGGCAGTGGGGGCTCCCTGGTCTCCATGCAGTCTCCACATGGTGTCAGACAGTGCAGTAGGCTCTAGAGGCTGTCTGCACAGATTGCTCATAACTGGGGGGTCTGGGATTTAACCTGCTTTCTTTTCCTTAGTTATTACTACTTGGGGGAACTTTTAAGCTCAAGACTTCAAACATCATTCATCCTATCACCTCCCAAGTCTATTTCTTTTTTTTTTTAATAAAGTCTTTTTTTTTATTCTTTTTTTTTTTTTTTTAAGAGGCATGTATTTTTTATTTATTTGTTTGTTTGTTTGTTCGTTTACACATGCACTGGGTACAGTCAGAAGCGCGGGAGGGTGAGAGAATTCACCAGAGCCAGAGCGGGGAGCAGAGCAGGCAGAAGGACCGAAGTACACTGCTGAGGGGAGCAGCGGGCGGCAGGAGAGGTCTGCGCGCCATGTGGGACCCTCCTCTGGTGGCCGGGGAGCAGCCGGGGATCGAACCGGCGCCGCAGAGGCCGCGGGCAGCTTCGCAACCCAGCGCTCAACCGCTGCGCCACCGGGGAGGCCCTAAAGTCTTTTTTTAAGATTTATTTATTTATTTATACAAGCACTGGGTACAGTCAGAAGCGCGGGAGGGTGAGAGAATTCACCAGAGCCAGAGCAGGGAGCAGAACAGGCAGAAGGACCGAAGTACACTGCTGAGGGGAGCAGCAGATGGCAGGAGAGGTCTGTGC